CTTTAATATCCTTTCACTCTGACCATCTGTATAGTGTCTGCCTGCACGTGCATGTGTGGCTGCTTCAAGGATCCTGGAGATGCTAGGCACCATGCCTCAGTTACCCAGAGGACTTTAAATCATGTGCATAAATCCATGGTGTGTGAATCCACCCTCTGTGCATGGGATGCAGAATCTACTACAGATGTAGAGCCTATGTGCATGCTGGAAGCTGCCTGTTGGGAAACCCTTAGGCCCAGATGCAGAGGCAACACCTTGCATGTTCACCAGCTCTCTGTGTTGCACGGTCATTATGTTTGCATTTTACATAAATATTTAACAAACATATATTTTCACATATATTTAACCAGTAAAAGAGGTTGGGAGGAAGTTGCCAAACTGATTACAGGTAACTGGCTATTTGTACCTCCATTTCCCTGTGGGAACAAATAAAAGAAAATTCCACTTCCCTCTTCCCCAAGGGATTCACTCACTGCAGTAGCTGCTTTTCTCTTAAACAAGTATTGCGATGCTATTTTTAATATTCTACTCCAATATTACTGCAATGTGTTACAGAGCTTTAAAGACCAAAGCAAAACAATAAGGCAGACTATGAGTACAGGACAGCTAAGGATGTAAAGCATGACAGGAAGTGGAGGGGAACCCCAGTTAGGAAATGTGGCAACCAGAATGTTGGGACTAGGCATCATCAACTCAAGCCAGTGGCAAGGGATCTATAGGTAGAGGCCTCTCTCTGATGGCCTCCACATCCTTTTTAGTTGCTAGAAGGAAGAGCTGTCTGCCTGCAGTAAAGTTCCTTCTCAAACATGAAAAATATGCTGTACATAAATGCTGTCATTGCTTGTTGCATAAAATGCTACAGGAATGTGTATTGATTTGACAAACCTGGGGGTCCACTTTCAAAGTCTCTTTTACCTACTTCACCAAGCTTCCAAGAAGCGATTCAAACCACAAAAAAAATCCTGAGAATTCCTCACACATCTCTGCACATGGCCAACAAGATTATAGGGCTAGAAGCAAGATCTGTCTCTAGCAGCACACAGCTACCAACCCTCTCTCACTCTCATCCTTCTCAATGTAAAAAAAAAATAAAATTTTGCTTTTATCCACACAAGAAACAAGGTCTCAGAATTGAAAGCTGCATCACTTTCAATTGTAGAAAACCTGTTCAACACTAGAGAATTCAGTCTTGTCTTTTCTGAGGCATAATTCAGATAAATAGGAGTTGAAGAAAAGGTATCCAGAAGTGATTTTATGAACTGGTAAGCAGCCATCTGTCCACAAAGAATCACAACCTGCCCCCAAGACAAGGCTCTTTTATGGCCAAACTTGTCTGGCATCATGTCCTTTGTTTGCTGACTGGTGAATTGTGGCTCATGAATTCACCCCATGTTCATTCTGCCTTCCCCGTACTGCTTGTGCCTATTGTTTTATCTGTTTGACCAATAAGAAGAGATAAGAACCAAAAAACTTTGAAAATTATATAATTTTTATTATGAACTACATATTCTTTTTTATTAATTTTTACCTGTTTTGGCCAGCACCCATAGCAGAACCTTCCACATTAACTTACTAAAACTCTTGCCCCAGAATTCTGAGGATGCCACAAACCAATCTGCACATAGATCTGCCTTCCAAGTCCAAAAGTGCCAAAAGCAGTAGTCCCTAATTAAAAGTTAAAAAAAAAAAAATAGTCATAGGTAAGTCAGCCATGATGAATGTTCTTTTCCTATAACCTCAGAAGGATTTTATCTTCATTGAGATGTGAACTAGGCAAGTATTATGAAAACTCTAGTAGCTGGAGAGGTATCACCAACGTTCCTTTTGAATGAAGTTTCCTTTCACTTTTCACTGAATTGTGTGCTGGAAAGTTGTGTTATATGCCAGAAAGTGACCATGTTTCACCTCTTGCTCAGAGATAACTGCAACTAGGATGCTTAGTATGCACAAATCCAAATGAACAATGTATAAAATATGTTATGCTCATGCAAAGAAATAATCCATAATATCCTCACCTCCCCAAAAAAAATGATCCTAAACAAACCATGCAAACCAAGAAATTCCCCCTTCCCACCCAAAACAAAAAACCCCAACAAACCCAAAGAAACAAAAAATCCCCAAAATTTTTTGTACAATAGTATTATACTCAGACCACTGAGGCTATTGGACAGATTGACACTGGACAGTGACTAAAAACTAGTTGTAGAAGACATAAATCCAGTTTCGTAGCTTCTTTGCAAATTCCTGTAATTCCTGTAAAAATATTCCTGTAAAATAACTCCTGTAAAAATATTATTTACAATGAAGAAATGAATGAGATGGAAACAAGGAAAAAAAAGGAACAAGGAATCTCTATCCCGCTAACAGTAGTCACTTCTCAAACATCTTCAAGCAGAGCTACAGTTGGAAGCGACCATGATGAAAGTCACAATGAAACTAGAAGAAAAGCAATCAAATGTAATTGCAAACACTGACATCAATAGCAGTTAACCTATGATATACTAAGTGCTATTGTACCAGCATTTAATTAATTTTGCAAATCAGTCCAGCATCAGTATTTAAAAGGTCAGTCCCCAAAATGTACACAGGCTAGAACTGAAAGGCAAGACCCACGGCCGGATACACGATACCCAGCATGTGCACAATACAATGCTCTGTGTAACAGAACACAAATGTAAATAGAGCCATGGATCTATGGGAAAGGTTTCTGCCACCCAGCCTCGAGAAGAAAATGCATTAGTTTGCACTGACAGAAAGCTCTTGTTCAACACATGGCACAAAAGCCAGTAGCAAACATAGCAACACTGAGACTTTTAAGACTACTCAGGAAGTAATCTCTGTGGTCTCATGGTGAAGACTCAAGGCTAGGTACTAGTGAGTGAGGTTCTGGCAAGTTCTGTGTCCTGCTCTCCCGTCTTTGAACACTGCCACTCAAGAGTCTTGCACGAAAAATTTCATTCCTATGGGGCAAATATAATACACTCCAGAAGGGAACTGAACATAAAAACTGCATGTGGAAGACGGTGTAAAGCCCGTAAAGCATCACCCAAGTGTAGTCATTAGCATAAAAGTAAACCAGTTCAGTTTGTGGTGAGTCCTACAGAAAAGCACAAACACAAACTGGGTTCAGTGATACCTCAATACCAAGGGAGATCATTAATGACACTTTTCCCTCCCATTTCCTAGAGGAGAGGTCATTACACAATCATAGAATATTAGGGGTTGGAAGAAACCTTAAAGATCACTTAGTTATAGCTCCCGCTGTCCTGGGAAAGGACAATTCCCACTAGATTAGGATGCTCAAAGGCCTTCTCCAACCTGGCTTTGAACAATATGGTCTCCACACAGTATTTTCTTTTCCAGGCTGAACAGCCCCAAACATTCCCTTTAGGGAAGGTGCTTTAGTCCCCTATCAACCTCGTGACTCTTCTCTCTGCTTGCTCCAGCACCTTAATCCACCATTAAACCATTGCTGGGCTTTTGGCGAAGAAGGACATTCTACTTCCATAACGGTTTCCTTTCTTTATGTTTCAATGAAAGAAAAAAATACACTTTGAATTACTCGAGAATTGGAACTTGGGGATTTCACACCGACGCCCGGTCCAGCGGCAGAGCCCGCCGGGGATGGGGCAGGCGGGCAGGGCGAGGACCGGCCGCTGCTGCCGGGAAGCAGATTTGAGAGCACACCTCCACCCGCACAGAAAGGTTATTCCCGGGCGCGACCTCGGACACCCTGGAGACACCGAGCGGGTCTCGCACGGCGCAGTGTGTCCCGAGCTGACACCGCCCGCCCGGCAGCCACTCAGTCCGTCCGTCCGTCCGTCCGGCAGACCCAGACCGCCGCCTCCTCGGCGGGCGCAGTACACAGACACGAAGTTTTCGGGCCGCCACTTCCCAGCCCAACCCAGACACATTAATCCCTGCGCTCTCCCTGCAGCCTCCCGCGGCGCCTGCCCGCCTCCCTCCTCCCCGTCAGCGATTCCCAATAAACTTCCCCCGCGCCCTCCTCCTCCTCCTCCTCCTCCTCCTCCCCCTCCTGCCGTACCTCTGCCCCCCCGCTCCCAGCCGCTACCACCGAGCGCCGCGGAAGGGGGGAAGTTGGGGCAGACAAGCGGGAGGGGGGAAACCAAAGGGAGGGGGGGCGGGTTGGGGAAGGACNGAAGTTGGGGCAGACAAGCGGGAGGGGGGAAACCGGGGGGGGGGGGGGGGGGGGGGGGGGGGGGGGGGGGGGGGGGGGGGGGGGGGGGGGGGGGTTCCTTGTCCAGCAGCCAATCGGCCGCCGGGCGCGCGGCGCACGCCGGGAGGCGTAGTTCTGCGCCGTTCGCCATTTTGTGGCGAGGGAACTACAACTTTCCCCACGAGCAAGGACAGTTCTGGGGGCCTGCGCGGCCAAACGTGGCTTTCAGGTGCTGCCTGCGCGGCGGGTCCCCCGTGCCTGTCGAAGCCGGGGGAGACGCGGCGGGCGCAAGGGCGGAGAGGAAGGACAGCCCTTGGCAGGCGGGAGGAGAGAGGAGGCTGCAGCGGGGCGGGGAGGGGGGCAGGGCACGGCGACAGAGCGTGCTGCGCTCTTGAGGGACCGTCGTCAAACTCCCCGCTCGGGTTTCGGCGTGGGGCTCGCGGCGACCTTGGCTGCCGTGTGGCCACGCTGAAATGCCGAAAGAAGGGAGGTGGGAAGAGTGGTGGGCTGTGGGAGAGGGAAGCGCGTGAGGCTTGAGCCGCATGGAGCGTGTAGCGGGGCCTGTTGCATGCGCTGAGCGCGGCGAGAGGCCGGGCGCTGCGGTTGCTGCCCCGGTTGGGAATTAAGGGCGAGCCCTAGGCGGTGTATGCATGTATGTGTGTGTGCGCCGTGTGTTCGTGTGTGTATATATATATATACACACACACACACACATACATACATATATATATATACACACACAGAGGTACACGCACGCGCGCGCACACGCACGCACGCAGACATAGATATTAACAACAGAGGAGGGGAGGAAAAAGGAAAAAAAAAAAAAGAGCCAGGTCCATTTAAAGTTGCTGGCGGAGAGCTGCTCTCATTGGCTAGGGGGGAGCTGGAGGAGCGGAGACACACACGGTGCGTGCAGCCCTCGCTGCCGCCGCCGCTGCTGCCGCCGGAGCCGCCGCTGCTGGAGTTGTCCCTGCCGCTTTCCCTGCTGCAGCGGCACAAACGTGACTTCCAACGTCCCGATTATTTATCTTCTCCTCCCGGCCCCTTTCCTCCTCCAAGATGTAACTACAGCTCTGACACTAAGGACCTGCAGATCGCTTAGGCGGCTTGAGAAAGAGAAAAGGGGATATCAAGGGCGTCGTTTTTTGTGTTTAGGGGGAAATTTTCCATTATAATGCTTCACTAAAGTGATTTTTTTGTTTGTTTCCTTCGCATTCGTCTTTTTTTTTTTTTTTTTTTTTTTTTTTTCCCCCTTTTTTTTTTTTTTTTTTTTTTTTTTTTCTTCCGTCCCCCATTTCTCGGATTTATTGCTAGGAGAATCACATTGTGAGGAAAGAAAGTCGGATTACAAGATACCACTACAAACAACCCCCTCCCCCCTGGATTTTTTCGGTGTTTTTTAATTTTTTTTTTAATTGTCTCGGCTTTAATTCATGAAGCAATTGTCCCCTTTTGCAATCAGAATTTGGATACCAGAATGAGCAAAGAAAGACCCAAGAGGAATATAATTCAAAAGAAATACGTAAGTGTTCATAACATACATCGTTTGACTCCCCGTTTTAGGAAATGGCAGTGAATGTCAAGTTTATAGCTAATCTTTCAGCTCTAAGGCTTTGGGAACAAATGTGATGCTGAATTTGATTTTTCTGTGGTGTGGTGGGGGAGTTTCAGAGGCCCCTTTTAATGGGGAAGCCTGCTATCCAGTTCGGTTATAAAACCAGATTTGTGTAGCGATTCCTCCAGTGAATAAATGTATTGACCTCAAATGACACAATCATAATCTAGTTTTAGATGAAACGCGAGGAGCTCGGGGGGCTGCCACGATAGTGTCACCGAACTGCATTTTCAAGCGATTTTCTTAATTCTGTGCTTTTGCATGCTAAAATAGGTTTATTGTTGGGGGTTTTTTGGGGTTTGGTGGTTTTTTTGGTTGGGGTTGGGTTTTTTCTTTTTTTTTTTTTTTTTTTTTTAATTATCTACGTGTGTCTATCCTCGTCTGGTGAAGCGGCGGCGGTGGTTGTTGGAAGCCCTTTAAGTTGAAACCGAGTGTCTGGTTATGGCGAGCTGGGCTGGTTTCTCGCAGTACCACATCCCCTTCTCCTGTGTGCGATCCTCGGCTGCTCTGCCTTGCGATAGACACCGGAGCAGCCGGGGATCGCCTTACGGGCAGCGCGTTCCTCGGGATTGACTGAAATAATGAGGAAAATGGCTCGGTGCCGTTTTAAAAATAATTCATTATGTGGCTCGAAAATTTGGGCTAATCCAGCGCAGCCTGGGCTGTATTTCTGCCTCTCTTTATTCAGCCGCTTAACCAATCCCTCGTAATTGTCTAATCCTTTAAACATATAAATGTGGATGGGTAGTTGGATTTTTGTTCGTGCTCCAGTTACGTTTTGATTGGCACAGGACAGTTTTTCCCTACGTTTGGAAAAGCAGAGGGGATTATCCATATATGCAGTAGAGCGAATAATGATTTTTATCTCCATGTTTAAACAAAAAAAAACCACAGCACCAAATTTTGGGGGGGCGGATATGGGGAGAAATATATATAAATCCTCGCTTTTGGGCGTGTTTGATGCGAGGCTTTAAAAGTTGTAGTTTATATCGCTTCTTGTCGTCTGCGCCGATTTCTTTCAGCGGAGGGTGTCCCTTGGCAGGGAGGGTGACCTTCGGGACACTTTGCCTCGGTATTCTATAGATTTGGTAAAAACTGCAGTTGACTCCAGCTGACTGCCGCTATCGATTGCCTGCCCGGCTGCAGGGCTGCCCGGGGGAGGTGGTGGAACGATGTGTGTGTGTGTGGTTTTGGGGATGAAGGGGAGGGGGGGGGCCTGCGCGCTATGTCGAAGCTGCCCCTCTTCTCCTTTCCACCCCCTCCCGCACCCCCCTAAATTTCCGAATTAAAATACATCCGCATTGCAGAGGAGAGGGGAGCCCGGGGCCGGCGAGTTTAAAGTATGGCATCGAAACGGGAACGGCGGGTGGAAAGTCTGGCTAAACACGCGAGGCGTCCACGTTTCCCAGGCAGGCAGACAAAAGCGGGGTGGGGGGGAAGGAAACCGCGGTGTTATTAATTAAAGAAGGGGGGCGGCGAGAGGAGAAGGGGGAGAGATCACCCCAAAGCCCGGCTTCCCCGGGGCGAACAATGCGGCGCCGCTCCCGCACCGCCGGGCAGGGGCCGAGAGCGCGACTCCCGGGGGAGGAAGGCAGGAGAGACGAGGGCGGACAATGTGCAGGGGTGCTCGCTCTCCCGCTCACAACTTCGCGGCGGCGCTTTTATTTAACCCTTTCCGCCCTCTCCTCTTTTCCCCCGCAGTCCCTCCCCATGTTCGTTTTTTGCAGGGGGCGGCGGTGCCGGCGGGGCGCGCTGGCAGCGGCGGCGGCAGCAACAGGTTGCCGGGGCTGTGACGGAGCCCGCGGGCCGCCGGCCACGCCGCCGCCCGGCCAGGTTCGCCCCGCTCCCCGTGACGTCACAAAGGGACGGGCCTGCGCGCCGCGGAACCTTCGGCCCCCCCGTCCCTCCGTGACGTCAGAGCCGAGGCGGGGCGGGGGCGGGAGGAGCCCCCGGGGCAGCGCTCGGCGGCGCCGCGGGGGAGGGAGGCAGGGACGGAGCCGGGGGCGGCCCGGGCCAGGTGAGCAGGTGCGGGGCCGCCCTGCCGCCTTCGGGGCGGGAGGAGAGCGCCGGTCACGTCGCCCTGTGGTGACACGCGTGTTGGCACGTCTGCGGCCCGTGACCTTCGGGCGCTACGGCAGCCCGGCGGAGCGCGCCGCCGCCTCCTCTTCCTCCTCCTCACCGGTGCCGGCACAAGCTTCGCCTGCACCTGGAACAATGCTCCCGGTGTCCGGCCCTGTTGCCCACCCCGAGTCCCTGGTTCCCCTAGGCCGGAGGTGATGCTCTGCCGAGAGGAGCAAGGGCAGAACTGTCGCACGAGCACCAAGTTCGTGGCCCCACTCCTCGTGTCACTGCGAGTTGTCACAGAATCACAGAACGGTTTGGGCTGGAAGGGGACCTTGAAGTTCACCTGGTTCCAACCCCCCTGCCGTGGGCAGGGACACCTTCCACTAGATCAGGTTGCTCAGAGCCCCGTCCAACCTCTGCTTAGACTGGCCTTGTGGTCAGGAGTGAAGCCTGTTCAGGTTGCTGCTTCTGCTATTTTTTTCTTTTCAGCATTTGCGGAATGAATTCTGAAAACAAGAAGGTAGTGAGAACAATGGAGTAAAACCTCCGTGTTGTGGGCTGCCGTAGCAGGGCTTGGCTCCCTGCTCCGTAAGTGCTCGCAATTGAAAGTTCTCTTAAACTTAGGGAGGGAGTGTTATCTTTTGCGATTGGTAACCCAGGAATGAGGAAATCGGAGTATGCATCTTTTCTTCCTGTGGTTTAAAAATGCTATCACTTATTTTTAAAAGATCTATGGCTGACTCATACAACTCTTTCTTTTCACTTTATCCTCCTCCTTCTCAAACATCTTTACATATCAAATATTGCCTTTTGGCTCCAGCCTCACAAAACTGACAGCTTTGTAAAGCATCCACCGAGAAACCAGACTGCATTCAGTATGCGTTTGGAATTAATAGTTCTTGATTCAAAAGCTTTGATGTCTTGAATGTAATTTCACAGGTGCGTTTTTCTGACCATTTTTGTGATGCTCAAATAGCAAATCTTCTGTTCTTGCTAGCTTAAGTTTCAGAGTATCAGACCTGGATTGCCACCTTAAAATACCTGCACAGTTCTGCCACAGTAGCAGATGGTGAAGTATAATTAAGGGGTAATGTCAGTACTGTCACCTTGTGTGATTTGTTTCCTTGTCCTTGCAGAAGTAAAAGTGCTGTAGTCTGCCATGAGGTGACACGCTTCACCTACGGATAGCCTGGTAAGCCCCTCAGACAGAGGGCCAGCAAGGCCTGGCCAGGATTAGCACACTGCAGACATCTGAGAGCTCCTGTGCCTGCTGCAGCCTTTGATACAATGCTCTTTATTTAAGTATGCTTGATGTGGGCTCAGGGAGTTTTGCAGGGTGGGGTGGGGGTGATAACTCTGCAGCATCACCACCACCTTCTGCATCAGGGGCATTTGTGCAGGAGCTTGACCCTGGGCACTCCAGGGCTTCAGCCTGTCCTGCTTATTTTCCTGTGAGCGGTTACCATTTCTTTCCCGCATCCTTACAACTGATGACAGGCTCTAAGTTTGTCCACTTCCTACAAGAAATAATGTAAATAGGCTGCTGGCAGCAGGGATAGTATTCAGTGTAAGTTGCATATTCGTTCACATCACTTTTTGGGGCTTTTTTCTGTTGAGTGTATCTCACACTTGTAATAAGAATTTCAGCAGCATAGCTGCTCAAGCTTTTCTTTTCCTGTAGGAAAAACTTAAAGATGCTAGCTGCACTCAAGACCTACTTTTGGGTCCCTCTTAAATCTCCTTCTGGTCTCTTGAAACTACAGCATTATGTTGTAAGTGGCTATAGGATAGTACATAAGTAAGAAACTAATAATTAAAATACTTTTTTTCTTTAAATGAATATTTTACTATCAACAGATGCTTTGCCCTGAAATGCTAATGGACTCCTGCTCACTCTGATGGTCTGCAAGCCAGGAGCAGTAAGATGCTGCACAGAGTGAATTAGAGTGAATAAAGGCCCCTGTGAAGAGTTTCTAATATTCATTAAGCACTTTCACCTTCTCTTGTGAGGCCTACTCAGCCAGCATTAAAAACATATTACCCCTTCCTTTTCTGTAGTAATAGCTAATGTTATGCATATGCTAAAGTGTGGTATAAACGTCAGCTGATTCTGTAAGGCAGTAGCATTCCCTTCATTTTATTGTTTGAGATGAAAAAGGAAGAAGTCTAAATTACTTGCCTGAAGCTACGTGCTGTAACAGTGGCAGAGTTGGAACTAATCTGTATTTCTGCTGCCTTCTCCAATATTCTATCCTGTAGCTTACAGGCTGTTGCTACAAGGCATGGCATCTACATTATAAGAGACTACTTTATGTAGTTTCAACTTTCTTCAAAATTTTCTCCCTCCGCAGTTAGAGTCTGGGCTGTTATATTAATGTTATATTCTTAACATATTAAAAAAGGCATTTCAGTATGGATGCTTCTACTTTTTCTTAAGAGATGATCATACCCTGCTGCTGATAGAGACCAGTTGATACTGTGATGACTCAGCTGTGGGTGTATTACATAAAGTAGGTCAGTTTTTAAATCTCAAAGTCTGAAGCTAAAGAGAATCCACGTTAAAATTTATGTTTTGTTTGTACACATTACTGTTATTTCCTGGCTTGAACGTAAGTGAAAACTCTTGAGGAGGCAGGACATGTTTCTGGGGGTTGATTTGGGATTTGCTTTAGCCCATTTTTATTGTATAGTGACTGAATTCAATCGACTTGATGGTAGGGGAAAGACCAGCTGCTTTCATTTCTAAAGTTTCCAGTTTGCAGCAGTCAAGTGAAAGAAAAGCTTTAAAGGCAATTTTAAAGTAGGGAAATGAAAAGTAGAGACACATTTATTATTTTTTATTA